TCATGGGAGCAGTTTCTCCCATGCTGTTCTCACGATAGGGAGTGAGTTCTCACGAGACCTGATGGTTTTAAAACAGGCTTTCCCCTTTGCTCGGCTCTCCTTCTCTCTCCTGCTGCCCTGTGAAGAGGTGTCTTCTGCTATAATTGTAAGTTTCCTGAGGCATCCCCAACCATACAGAACTGAGTCATCTTAAACATTTTTTCTTTATAAATTACCCAGTTTTGGGTATTTCTTCATAGCAGCATGACAATGGACTAATACAGTGTGCTGATCACAGCCCAGACCGTAGTATACAGGGACTACTATACTTTGATGCTAGAGGTATTCCCATTAAGCTCAGGAGCAGTATGTGTTATCATTACCATGATCTAACATTGTTCCAGAGGTTTTTAGGTCAGCAGTTGTCAACTGGAGGTGACTTTGCCTCCCTGGGGATATTTGACAATATCTGAAATCATTTTGGCTGTCACACTGAGGAGTGCTACTGGCATGTAGCAGGCGGAGTCTGGGGATGCTGCTAAATATCCTGCGAGGCACAAACAGCTCCATAACAAAGAATTATCCAGCCCAAAACACCAATAGTGCCGCTGTTGAGAAACCCTAGTCTAGACAAATAAAACATGAGAAATCCATTAACATAAATGTGGGAAAATAATAAACTAGTATTTGCCAATGACAGTCTAGCTAGGAGGTCCAAAAGAAGCACCTGAAGAACAGTTAGATTTTGCAGGGGCTGCATGGCGGTTCATGCCTGTAACTCCAGTGCATTGTGAGGTCGCATTGGGAGGATCTCTTGAGGCCAGGAGTTCAAGACCAGCCTGGGCCACGTAGTGAGACCGCATCTCTACCAAAAATTAAAACATCAGCCAGATGTGGTGGTGCACTCTTAGAGTCCCAGCTGCTATGGTGGGAGTATCACTTGAGCCCAGGAGTTGGAGGCCATGGTGAGCTGTGATCATGCCTCAGCCTCTGAAAGTATTGAGATTACAGGCATGAGCCACTCCCTTGGTCTTAGAAAATAAAAATAAATAAATAAATTACAAGGTGTTATGTGGCCAGTTGAAAGATGTCAGAAAACAGTTGTGCATGTGACTCCACTGTAACCAGTTATAAAAGTATCAGGATTAAGAAATTTACTGTGTCTGACTTTTCCAAGTTTAGGTTCCTGACGAAAGAATGGGATGGACCTTTTCTTCCTCCACTCCTCACCTCATTGCAAGAACCAGGACTGTGCATTTTGACGGGCAGGCTCTTACCTGTGGCAGGCCATGGGGGGCATGCAGAGCCTTTCTGTGTGTGTTTTCTGGGCACTCAGATAAAGACCCCCTTTCCAGGCCTTTGTTTAGGATATTTGGCCCATGGAGGAATGAGGCTGGAATCATTTGGGAGGGATAGAGGTTTCGACTGGAAGAAGGCATGACCTGAACTGCAGGCTCTGGGCCTGCACTTTGTTTCCATGCAGCACCCCGTTAGTGGTGACTAGGGCCTGAAAGTCAGCGGCCTTTGGTGGCCAAGTGTTGGCTGGACAGGAGGAGCTGAGGGAGGTGAGGACCATCTCTCCAGCACTGCCCCCAGCTTGTCCCCAAATCAATGCCCTCTGACGGCTCAGACACAGACCCGGCCAGCAGCAGTACGGGTCAGGAAGGACGAATGCACTCAGCACAGATCTGCTCCACAGTCTCCGCCTCACTTCATCTCGGGTTGGAGAGAGTGAGTCCCCACAGCACTGATGATATGCTGTCAGCTGAGAACATTCAGCTTGATTTAGAAAGATAAGGTGGGACATCTCTTGGGCATGGCACGTGGAGCAGTGCCATCCCTCTGTGGCAGCGAGCCGAGCAATAAACCAGAATGTGCAAAACCTGCATCCCAGAATCACCATTCCTAGAGGGAAAGCCCGTATTGTCAAGATGCCCACAACTAAATTAACCCAGACATTTCACCCAGCCTCGAAACACCAGTAGAACTTTGACATTAATACACTAACCCTCAGGTCTATATAGAAACATGTAAGAATAGCCACATACTGTAACGTACGGTCATTGAGAGGGAGGAACCCATCAGAACAAATGGAACCAAGTCCAGAAACATGTCTGGGCACAAGATGCCAGCCTGTGTGTCAGTCACGGAAGCAGACCAGGGGGAGATATTTATTAAGATTTAAAACCGGGCTCCGTAGCTCAGGCCTATAATTTCAGCACTTTGGGAGCCTGAGGTGGGAGGATCACTTGAGCCCAGGAGTTTGAGGTAGCAGTAAGCTATGATTGTGCCACTGCATTCCAGCCTGGATGACAGAGCGAGGCTCCATCTCAAACAGAAAATAATAATAATAACAAAAAGGAACATGCACAACTTGGATGGATCTCAAAGGGCATTTGCTGAGTAGAAAAAAAAAAAAAAGCCAGTCTCAAAAGGCCACCTACTGTGTGATTCCATTTATTTAATGTTCTTTTTTTCTTTGTTTGGTTTTGTTTTATTTTGTTTTTCAGATGAACTCTCACTCTGTGGCCCAGATTGGAATGCAGTGACATGATCTCGGCTCACTGCAGCCTCCGCCTCCCAGGTTCAAGTGATTCTTGTGCCTCAGTCTCCCAAGTAGCTGGGAGTATAGGTGCACACCATCATGCCTGGCTAATTTTTGCATTTTTAGTAGAGACAGGGTTTTGTCATGTTGGCCAGGCTGGTCCCAAACTCCAGGCATCAACAGTTCCAACTGCTTCGGCCTCCCAAAGCACTGGGATTATAGGTGTGAGCCACCGTGCCACGCCTTCATTCATTCATTCATTCATTGAGAGTCTCACCCTGTCTCTCAAGCTGGACTGCAATGGCAGGATCATTGTAGCCTCCACCTCCCAGGTTCAAGTGATTCTTCTGCCTTAGCCTCCCACGTAGCTGGAACTACAAGCTGGTGCCACCATGCCTGGATAATTTTTGCATTTGTAATGTTCTTGAAGTGGGAAGATTATAAAGACAGAAAGCAGATTCGTGGTTGCCAGGAGTAGGAATACTGGAGGGAAAGAGCCTGGAATGAGTGTAGAGGAAGAGCAGGAGGGGAATTTTTGTGGTGGTGGAACAGTTCTGTATCTTGATTGCAGCAGTGGTTAAAGTCTACATGTGATAAAATGGCATAGACCTAAACACATGACATTGTTAGATACTGTCCTACATTTATACAAAATAGAACCTTTGGAGAAAACTGAGTGAGGAGTTCATGAAACCTCTTTGTACCATCTTTGAAATTTCCTCTGAATCTGTATTTCCAAATAAAGGGTTAAAATTTTTAAAGTTGCTTTAGACAAAAATATTGAATAAAAATAATGTTGATTGTATGCAGATCTGGCAAACCTTTGGCACACTGAATGACCGGCATCTCTAACCCATCCAATGCCCAATTGACCCTGGCAGGCCCTGTCCTAGGCTAGGTTGCCTGCTGGAAGATAGGACTCTGGATTCTCTCCTGCTTGCCTTTGCTATAGAGATGCCAGATAAAATATAGGATGCCCTGTTAAATTTAGATTTCTGATAAAAAATAAACTATTTTTTAGTAAGTATGTACCACGCATATTTAGGACACACTTATACTGAAACTTATTTTCTCGATTCTTTTTTCACCATCTTCACAGGTGTTGATATTTCTCTAAATTTTTTTTTTTTTTTTTTTAGATGGAGTCTCACTCTGTCCCCAGGCTGGAGTGCAGTGGCCGGATCTCAGCTCACTGCAAGCTCCGCCTCCCGGGTCTACGTCATTCTCCTGCCTCAGCCTCCCAAGTAGCTGGGACTACAGGAGCCCACCACCTCGCCTGGCTAGTTTTTTGTATTTCTTTTTTAGTAGAGACGGGGTTTCACCGTGTTAGCCAGGATGGTCTCGATCTCCTGACCCCGTGATCCACCCGACTCGGTCTCCCAAAGTGTTGGGATTACAGGCTTGAGTCACCACGCCCGGCCCTCTCTAAATTCTTAAATGTATGTATGTAGTTACTTTAAAGCTCTTGCCTGCTAATTTCAATATGTGAGCCATTCATGGCTTTTTTGTTTTGTTTTGTTTTGTTTTGTTTTTTGAGATGGAGTTTCACTCTTGTAGCCCAGGCTGGAGTAAAATGGTGCCATCTTGGCTCACTGCAACCTCCACCTCATGTGGCTGGTCTTGAATTTCTGACCTCAGGTGATCTGCCTGCCTCAGCCTCCCAAAGTGCTGGGATTACAGGTGTGAGCCACCATGCCCGGCCCTTTTGTTTGTTTCTTTGAGATAAGATCTCACTCTGTTGTCCAGGCTGGAGTGCAGTGGCATGATCTCAACTCACTGCAACCTCCACCTCCCAGGCTCAAGCCATCCTTTCCCCTCAGCCTTCCAACTATCTGGGACCACAGGGACAAGCCACCAGCAGTTCTGACTGGTTTTGTGGAAGACAATTTTTCCACAGACGGGGTTGGGGGCGGTGTTTATGGTATGAAACTGTTCCACTTCAGATCATCAGGCATTAGGTTCTCATAAAGAGTGTGAAACCTAGAGCCCTCGCATGTGCAGTTCACATTACGGTTCACGCTCCTGTGAGAATCTAATGCCTGCTGATCTGATGGGGGGCGGAGCTCAGGCAGTAATGCTCACTACCCACCACTCACCTCCTGCTGTGCAGCCTGGTTCCTAACAGGTCACCGACTGGTACAGTCCACAGTCTGGGGGTTACGGACCCCTGCACACCCCCACACCCAACTCATTTTTGAAGTTTTAGTAGAGATGGGGTTTTGCCATGTTGCCCAGGCTGGTCTCAAAGTCTTCAGCTCAAGTGATCTACCTGCCTTGGCCTCCCAAAGTGCTGGGATTACAGGCATGAGCCTCCATGCACGGTGGGTCTGTTTGTATTGACTGGTTTTCTCTTAATTTTAGGATACATTTTCTCTCTTTTTCACACATGTAGTCAGTATTTCTTGAGCTGTTGGATGTTGTGAACCTTCATTGTAGAGATGTGGATTATGTTATCCTGCTCTAGTGTTGAGTTTTATTTTGGCAGGGAATTAAATTACTGATGGGTTAACTTGATCATGTGTGTCAGACTACATTTTAGGTTTTGTTAGGGTGAGCTGTTGTTCAGTTTTGCCCTTATTCCTGGGGTATCTTCCTTAATCCCAAGGCATGGCCTTCTAGGCCCTCCTGGGAGTATCTGGGATATTCATCGAGGCCTGAGATTCCAAGAGTGGAGACTCTGGCTGAACCAGAATTCAGATGTGTCTCCAGCACTCTGTGACCACTGAAATTGCTGTTTAGCTTTCAGCTCCCCATTGGCTGTTCTGTGCTGGGCCTTGCAGAGTCTCAATCCACACATTCATAGTGTGAGATTTGGCCAAGGACTTACAGCAAACTCTATAAGATTTCTGGGGCTCCTTCTCTGCAACTCCATCCTTTCTGATACTCTGCCACATACATTTTAGCAGCCCTGAGCAGCAGTCTCTGTTTCCTCCACCAAACAACACTGATCCTTTCGGCCTGGACTCTGTTTCCTATCTGTATGCTATCGTTGAGGGTTTGGAAACTTTCTCCACCAGAAAAATGTAGCAGTCCCTTCATGTGATTCCCTTCTCACAGATTGTACCTGGAACTGCCTATTGCCCAATGCCTGAAGACAATTTCTTCATGTACTTTGCGCAGCTTTGTAGTTGTTTATGCTGGGAGACTATCATCAATACAGGTACTCCATCGTGGCCACAATTTGAAGTACTATTAATATCATATTCATTCTATTCTAAAAGTAGAGAAGACAAAGACCAACAATTCTAAGAAAAATGGAAAGTTCAAACGGGAAAAATAAAGTTCAAAGAAAAAGAAATGCAAATGCTGCTGACACACAGGATAAAATGTTTAACTTCCCTGTTAATAAGAAAGATACAATTTTAGGCTGGGTGCAGCGGCTCACACCTGTAATCCCAGCACTTTGGGAAGCTGAGGTGGAAGGATCTCTTCAGGCCATGAAGTGGAGGTGGCAGTGAGCTCAGATAGTGCCACTTGGGGTTACAGAGCGAGATCCTGTCTCAAAAAAAAAAAAAAAAAAAAGAACCCACATCCTGATCTATTTTGCGCATTGCTCTCCTCTCACTGACATGGATAACCTGTAATTCAGTATTTCTGACGCTATGGGTGAATCATCTGTAGAGATCTCACCATCTCATATATTATATAAGGGATAAGGAATTACACCACGACTGCCCCTGTTGAGTTGATTGGCACACCGAATTAAATTACTCAATCTCTGAAAACCTATTTTATATGTTGTCCCATTTTGTAGATTTATAAAGGTGAGAAGGCAAATACCTGGGCGCCCTGTAGACAACTCAGCGGGGCCACATTCAGCACGGGTTCAGGAGTTTTTACATCTGTACTC